AACCAGCGAATATCCAAGAAGCACTTTGGATGGATTTTTTTTTCTCGTTTTCCCATGATGATGACCATGGAGGGTTTTTATACACCCGGTCGCCCTCCTACCGACTGAGCTATTTTACTGTCTGTAATTAAAACAAAACAAAAAAAAAGATGTTAAAAAATAAAGTGACTATTGAAAGATTTACGGGGTGTTTTTTTTTTCTCTTTCGGAAAAAGAGAAGGGATGAATTTCCGTAAATAACACTACCACCTTCTGGTAAAAGGATTCACTGTTTTATGGGGAAAATACAGACAGACCTCCCCCTCTCCTTTTCATAGAATCCTAGAGTTGGAAGAGACCTCCTGGGCCATCCAGTCAAACCCCATTCTGCCAAGAAGCAGGAATATTGCATTCAAAGCACCCCTGACAGATGGCCATCCAGCCTCTGTTTAAAAGCTTCCAAAGAAGGAGCCTCCACCACACTCCGGGGCAGAGAGTTCCACTGCTGAACGGCTCTCACAGTCAGGAAGTTCTTCCTCATGTTCAGATGGAATCTCCACTCTTGTAGTTTGAAGCCATTGCTCCCTTGCGTCCTAGTCTCCAGGGAAGCAGAAAACAAGCTTGCTCCCTCTCCCTGTGGCTTCCTCTCACATATTTATACATGGCTATCATATCTCCTCTCACTTCTCTTCTTCAGGCTAAACATGCCCAGCTCCTTAAGCCGCTCCTCATAGGGCTTGTTCTCCAGACCCTTGATCATTTTAGTCGCCCTCCTCTGGACACATTCCAGCTTGTCAATATCTCTCTTGAATTGTGGTGCCCAGAATTGGACACAATACTCCAGGTGTGGTCTAACCAAAGCAGAATAGAGGGGTAGCATGACTTCCCTAGATCTAGACACTATGCTCCTATTGATGCAGGCCAAAATCCCATTGGCTTTTTTTGTCGCCACATCACATTGTTGGCTCATGTTTAACTTGTTGTCCACGAGGACTCCAAGATCTTTTTCACACGTACTGCTCTCGAGCCAGGCCTCGTCGTCCCCCATTCTGTCTCTTTGCATTTCGTTTTTCCTGCCAAAGTGGAGTATCTTGCATTTGTCCCTGTTGAACTTCATTTTGTTAGTTTTGGCCCATCATCTCTAATCTGTCAAGACTGAATCCTGCTCCTGTCCTCTGGAGCATTGGCTATCCCTTCCAATTTGGTCCCATCTGCAAACTTGATGATCCTGCCTTCTAGCCCTTCATCTAAGTCATTAATAAAGATCCTGAACAGGACCGGGCCCAGGACGGAACCCTGCGAATGGCGCTCCACTTGTCACTTCTTTCCAGGATGAAGAGGAAGCATTGGGGAGAATCACCCTCTGGGTTCATCCATTTAACCAATTACAGATCCACCTCACCGTAGTTTTGTGTGATTTTGGAAAACATCCCAAGTTTTCCAAAATCATGCATTACCTCTGTATTAACCCTGTTGTATTCTGCCTTGTGAGAGAGGTGAGTAACAACACTATTGAGTCCCCTTCGGGGTGAGAAGAGCGAGGTATAAATACAGTAAATAAATAAAAAAAAATTATCGAAGGCTTTCATGGCCGGAATCACTGGGTTGTTGTTGGTTTTTGGGCTGTATGGCCATGTCCTAGAAGCATTCTCTCCTGACGTTTCGCCTGCATCTATGGCAGGCATCCTCAGAGGTTGTGAGGTCCTTGATGAAAATGAACAAAATCTGGCTACCAGTATTAAAAAACTCTAAAATTACAACAGCAAAACAACAGAGGGGAAACAATCAAGGACATCTAATCACCTCTCAACAAAAGATTGCCCCAGGCACTGCCAGACCATCAAATGCTAATCAAGGTGGTCAGTTGAAACATTCACACCTCCCTCCAGCAGACAAGAGTCCTTTGTCCCACCCTGGTCATTTCACAAATATATAAACCCTTTTTCCTAATTCCAACAGACCTCACTATCTCTGAGGATGCTTGCCACAGATGCAGGCGAAACGTCAGGAGAAAATGCCTCTAGACCATGGCTGTATAGCCCGAAAAAACCTACAACAACCCATTTCCTCTTTGTCTTTTGCACTTTAAGCAGTTTTCTACTATTGACTTTCCTCAATGTTGGTTCTTGAACTATTATGCAAGATTATTATTATTATTATTATTATTTTACTGAGACAAAAACACAGTATGTCACAGCAAATGAGATTTATATGCTGGATTTCGTATCACAAAATCACAAGTCAAACACTTCCCAAGCGTCTAGGAATGTGTGATGTATATTATTATTATTATTATTATTATTATTATTATTATTATTACTTGCCTTGCAAAGAGCAAAAGCAAGACATCTCTGAGTCAGGAACAGATTGTTTAGACAGATGGGGAAGACCTGGGCTCTTCCGAGAGAGCTTTGAAGGCATTGTTTATAAAGGAAACCAATGGGCCAATGAGGAGTGGATCCCTCCTTTCCGAAGCCTGAGAAAAGCCTGATCCCTTTGCTGAGGCCACCAAAGGGCTTTTCTCTCCTCTTCCAAGAGGACAAAGAGGCCTTTGTGAAGGCCAGCAGAAGCCGGCCAGGAGATGTCAAGGAGGCAGCTTTTGTTCAAGCCCCAAAACAAACCCTGAAAATAATAATAAAGGAGAGTTGCTGGAAGAAAGAGCTGTATTGTCGAAGGCTTTCATGGCCGGAATCACTGGGTTGTTATAGGTTTCTCCGGGCTATATGGCCATGTTCTAGAGGCATTTTCTCCTGACGTTTCGCCTGCATCTATGGCAAGCATCCTCAGGATGCTTGCCATAGATGCAGGCGAATCGTCAGGAGAAAATGCCTCTAGAACATGGCCATATAGCCCGGAGAAACCTACAACAACCCAGAAAGAGCTGTGCTTGCTTTTGGGTTGAGCCATGCATGGGAATTGTATTTTCTTGGGTAGAAGAATTGATGTTTGGCTCAAAGCCTATGCTTTTGTAGATTGGATCACATTTATTTGAGGGTCACAAACACAAATAAAACAAAATTTCCAATCCAAGGAAGAATATTCAGCATGAAGAAAAGAACTGCAATTACAGGAACAAATTTGAGTTCAAAACAAAACAAACAAAAAGTTTTAGGATGTATTTACCGGAGTTGGCCAGCAGGGGGAGACAGCATCTGTACTGCAAATGCATCTGTCTCTATGGGAGGTTTGAACTAGATGAGAAGATGTCAACAAGCAGTATCTTTAATGATGATGAATTAAATAATAAATTTAATAATAATAAATAAAATAATACTAAGTAAATTAGGAGACTCCGTTTAGTAGTAGTAACGGTAATAGTAATAATAGTAGTAATAATAATGGTAATAATATAATACTAATAAATCATACCGTGCAAATGCTCCCCTAGTTTTACAATGTCTGCAGTAGTAGTAATAGTAGTAGTGGTAATGGTAATAATAGTAATAATAGTAGTAATAATAATGGTAATAATATAATACTAATAAATCATACCGTGCAAATGCTCCCCTAGTTTTACAATGTCTGCAGTAGTAGTAATAGTAGTAGTGGTAATGGTAATAATAGTAATAATAGTAGTAATAATAATGGTAATAATATAATACTAATAAATGTTGTTGTTCATTTGTTCAGTCGTCTCCGACTCTTCGTGACCTCATGGACCAGCCCACGCCAGAGCTCCCTGTCGGCCATTACCACCCCCAGCTCCCAGTAGTACTAATAAATAGTACAGTGCAAATGCTCCCCTAGTTTTACAACGTCTGTAGTAGTAGTAATAGTAGTAGTGGTAATAGTAACTATAGTAATAATAATAATGGTAATAATATAATACTAATAAATCGTACAGTGCAAATGCACCCCTAGTTTTACAATGTCTGTAGTAGTAGTAATAGTAGTAGTGGTAATAATAGTAGTAATAATAATAATGGTAATAATATAATACTAATAAATAGTACAGTGCAAATGCTCCCCTAGTTTTACAACGTCTAGTAGTAATAATGGTAGTACTAATGGTAATAGTAACTATAGTAATAATAGTAATAATAATGGTAATAATATAATACTAATAAATAGTACAGTGCAAATACACCCCTAGTTTTACAACGTCTAGTAGTAATAATGGTAGTAGTAATGGTAATAGTAACTATAGTAATAATAGTAGTAATAATAATGGTAATAATATAATACTAATAAATCATACAGTGCAACTGCACCCATAGCTTTACAATGTCTGTAGTAGTAGTAATAGTAGTAGTAATGGTAACAGTAATATTAGTAGTAGTAGTAATAATAATGGTAATATTAGTGTAATACTAATAAATTGTACAAGGCAACTGCACCCCTAGTTTTACAACGTCTGTAGTAGTAGTAATAGTAATAGTGGTAATAATAGTAATAATAGTAGTAATAATAATAATAATGGTAATAATATAATACTAATAAATAGTACAGTGCAAATGCACCCCTAGTTTTACAACATCTAGTAGTCATAATGGTAGTAGTAATGGTAATAGTAACTAAAGTGATAATAGTAGTAATCATAATGGTAATTTTACAATGTCTGTAGTAGTAGTAATAGTAGTAGTGGTAATAATAGTAATAATAGAAGTAATAAAAATTGTAATAATAATATAATACTAATAAGTAGTAGTAGTAATGGTAATAATAGTAATAATACAGTGCAAATGCACCCCTAATTTTACAACTTCTTTAATAATGGCAATAATAGTATAATATTAGTAAATCGCACAGTGCAAATGCAGCCTTGGCTTTACAACCCCTTTAGCCTTCTCTGCCAAACTCCACCTGCCAGGATGTCCATCCCAAGTGGTGCTAACCCGCATTGCCCTCCCAGTGTGGATGCTCCCTCTCCTTCCCTGCTGCTTTTGGCCCTGCCCTGGGGAGAGTGGGCGTGTCCTCGCGGGGAGCGGCAACCCGATTGGCTGCGGGGTGGGGAGGGGGCGTGTCCTCTGCCTCTTGCTGCTGCAGCTGCTGGGTGTTTCTCTGTCTGTGCCTCTCTCTCAGTCTCTCTGTCTGTGTCTCTGCCGCTGGGGCCAAAGAGGCGAGAGGAGGCATTGGAGCCTTTCCAGGGCCGGGGTCCCGGGAGGGAGGGGCTTCCCCGGACAGCATGGCCCCGCCCAGACCCCCTGGGCCCCCCTCCACCTGCCTACCCCTCCTCCTCCTCCTCCTCCTCCTGCTCTACCTGGGCGGACAGGTGAGAAGAAGACCCTGCATCTCTAGGCATGCCTTGGCTCTGGGGGGCTGGGATGGGCCATTCTGGGGAGAAGGGAAGGGAGCCAGAGAGGGTTCTCCTTTGCACAACAAAACAGATAGAGAGATAGAGAGATAGATACATAGATAGATAGATAGAGAGAGAGAGAGAGAGAGAGAGATACATAGATACATAGATAGAGAGAGAGATACATAGATAGAGAGATACATAGATAGAGAGAGAGAGAGATACATAGATAGATAGATAGAGAGAGAGAGATACATAGAGAGATACATAGATAGATACATAGATAGATACATAGATAATACATAGATAATCAATAGGTCTTACTATATTGTGTTCTGCATGAACAATGTTTGAGTCCTTTGCACAACAAACTATAGTAAATATATATATATATATATATATAACACTATAGTTTGTTGTTACAGTAATATATATAATCATATATATACAGTAATATATGTAGTATATTAATATATTTTATTATAGTTTCTTGTGCAAAGGACATTTTTTGCACAAAACAGCAATACGGTTTATGTATATATATATATATATACACACACACAGTTTTATATATATATATATATATATATATATATATATATATACAGTTTTATATATATATATATATATATATATATATATACACACACCTGGAATATTGTGTCCAACACCACAATTGAAGAGAGATATTGACAAGCTGGAATGTGTCCAGAGGAGGGCCACTAAATGATCAAGGGTCTGGAGAACAAGCCCTATGAGGAGCGGCTTAAGGAGCTGGGCATGTTTAGCCTGAAGAAGAGAAGGCTGAGAGGAGACATATTAGCCATGTATAAATATGTGAGAGGAAGCCACAGGGAGGAGGGAGAAGCTTGTTTTCTGCTTCCCTGGAGACTAGGACGCAATGGAACAATGGCTTCAAACTACAAGAGAGGAGATTCCATCTGAACATGAGGAAGAACTTCCTGACTGTGAGAGCCGTTCAGCAGTGGAACTCTCTGCCCTGGAGTGTGGTGGAGGCTCCTTCTTTGGAAGCTTTTAAACAGGGGCTGGATGGCCATCTGTCAGGGGTGCTTTGAATGCAATATTCCTGCTTCTTGGCAGAATGGGGTTGGACTGGATGATGGCCCATGAGGTCTCTTCCAACTCTTTGATTCTATGATTCTATATATATATATATATATATATATATATATATACACACACACACACACACACACACACACACAGTTTATATATATATACACAATACACACACACACACATTAATATAACTATATTTTGTTCTCCAAAGGACATGAACAACGTTTGTGTCCTGTGCACAACAAAACACAGCAATATATATGTGTTTGTGTGTGTTACTATAGTTTGTTGTGCAAAGGATATGAGCAATGTTTTCCACATCGGTACAGCTTTATATCTGTATACAGTAATATATCTATATACAGTAATATATCTATATCTATCTATCTCTCTATCTATATATATGTATATATGTCTTACTATATTTTGTTTTGCAAAGGACATAAACAATGTTTTCGTCTTTGCACAACAAAACACAGCAATGTATATGTTGTAATATATATATATATATATATATATATATATAGTAAAACATATTTTTATATATATAGTATATTAATATGCTTTACTATAGTTTGTTGTGCAAAGGACATGAGCAAAGTTTTGCACAATACAGCTTTACACACACACACACACAGATCTTGCTGTATTTTGTTCTGCAAAGGGCACAAACATTGTTCATGTCCTTTGCACAACAAACTATAGTAAAATATATTAATTTACTATATATTAATATACTCTCTCTCTCTCTCTCTATATATATATATATATAGTTCTGCAAAGGACATGAATGTTTGTGCCTTTTGCACAACAAAACACAGTAATATAGACAGAGCTAATATAGTACTATATATAACTACGGTATATGTTGTTGTGTAAAGGATGCAAACATTATTGAAACAAGCTCAAGCCATGAGGAGTGGCGGGTAAGAAATAAAATTATTATTATTATTAATTATTATTATTATTAAATAATAATAATGTGCTATAATAATGTTAAATAATAATAATAATTGTGCTATAATAATAATGAGTATGTTTGAGTATGTGTGTGTTAAACAATGTATCCTTTGCAGAACAAAACACATACACACACACACACTATATTAGTGTTTATGTTACTGTTTTGTTCTGCAAAGGACACAAACATTGTTGAAACAAGCAACTTATAATAATAATAATAATAATAATAATAATAATAATAATAATAACAATAATAATAATAATGGAGTAGTATGAGTATGTGTGTGTTAAAACAATGTTTGTGTCATTTGCACAACAAAACATCTATCTACCTATACTATATTAGTATGTATATTGCAGTTTTTTGTGTGTGCAAAGAACACACACATAGTTGAAATAAGCAATTAAATTATAATAATAGACCTAATAATAATAATAATAATAATAATAATAATAATAATAATAATGGAGTTGTATGAGTATGTGTGTGTTAAACAATGTGTGTCCTTTGCACAACAAAACATCTACTATATTACTATATATATTGCAGTGTTTTGTTGTACAAAGGACACAAACTGTTGAAACAAGCAATTAAGTAATAATAATAATGAACCTAATAATAATAATAATGAACCAGTATGAGTTTGTATGTGTTAAACAATGTTTGTGTTATTTGCACAACAAAATTTATCTATCTATATCTATCTATCTACTATGTTAGTGTATATATTGCAATGCTTTGTTGTGCAAGGGGCACAAACTGTTGAAACTAGCAATTAAATAATAATAATAATGGACCTAATCATAAGAACAATTGAGCTGTAATAATAGTAATAATAGAGCTATATGAGTCTGTGTCTGTTAAACAATGTTTGTGTCCTTTGCACAACAAAACATCTATCTACTATATTAGTATATATATTGCAATGTTTTGTTGTGCAAGGGGCACAAACTGTTGAAATAATAATAATAATAATAATAATAATAATGGACCTAATAATAATAATAATAATGGACCTAATAATAATAATAATAATAATAATAATAATAATAATAATAATAATAATAGAGCTATAATAATAATGATGATGGAGCAGTATGAGTCTGTGTGTGCTAAACAATGTTTGTGTGCTTTGAACAACAGAATGTAGTTTCATAATACTACTACTACTACTACTAGTAATAATAATAATAATAGTAATGGAGCAGTATGAGTATATGTGTGCTAAACAATGTTTGTGTCCTTTCCACAACAAAACATGGTTTTCTAATAATAATAATCGTAATAATAATGGACCTAATAATAATAATAATAATAATAATAATAATGGAGCAATAGTAATAGTAATAATAATATTAATAATAATGGAACAGTATAACTGTATGTGTGCTAAACAATGTTTGTGTCCATTGCACAACAAACATGGTTTTCTAATAATAATAATAGTAATAATAATGGACCTAATAATAATAATAATAATAATAATAATGGAGCAATAGTAATAATAATAATAATAATAATAATAATACTGGAACAGTATAACTGTATGTGTTCTAAACAATGTTTGTGTCCATTGCACAACAAAACATAGTTTTCTAATTATAATAATAGTAATAATAATGGACCTAATAATAATAATAAAAATAATGAAGCAATAATAATAATAATAATAATAATAATAATAATAATGGAACAGTATAACTATATGTGTGCTAAACAATGTCTGTGTCCATTGCACAACAAAACATGGTTTTATACTAATAATAATAATAATAATAATAATAATGAACCTAATAATAATAATAATAATAATAATAATAATAATGGAGCAATAGTAATAGTAATAATAATATTAATAATAGTAATAGTAATAATAATATTAATAATAATGGAGCAGTATAACTGTATGTGTTCTAAATAATGTTTGTGTCCATTGCACAACAACATGTGGTTTTATAATAATAATAATAATAATAATGGAGCAATAAATAATAATAATAATAATAATGGAGCAGTATAACTATATGTGTTCTAAACAATGTTTGTGTCATTTGCACAACAACATGTGGTTTTATCACAACAAAACATGGTTTTCTAATAATAATAATAATAATAATAATAATAATGAACCTAATAATAATATTAATAATAATAATGGAGCATTATAACTATATGTGTTCTAAACATTGTTTGTGTGCATTGCACAATGAAACATGGTTTTATAATAATAATAATAATAATAATAATAATGAACCTAATAATAATATTAATAACAATGGAACAGTATAACTGTATGTGTTCTAAACAATATTTGTGTCCATTGCACAACAAAACATGATTTTCCAATAATAATAATAATAATAGTAATAATAATAATGGAAATAATAATAGTAATAATAATAATGGAGCATTATAACTATATGTGTGCTAAACAATATTTGTGTCCTTTGCACAACAAAACATGGTTTTCTAATAATAATAATAATAATAATAATAATAATGAACCTAATAATAATATTAATAATAATAATGGAGCATTATAACTATATGTGTTCTAAACATTGTTTGTGTGCATTGCACAATGAAACATGGTTTTATAATAATAATAATAATAATAATAATAATAATAATAATAAAACAATAATAATAATAATAATAATAATGGAGCAATAGTAGTAGTAGTAGTAATAATAATAATAATAATAATAATAATAATGGAGCAGTATAACTATATGTGTTCTAAACAATGTTTGTGTCATTTGCACAACAACATGTGGTTTTATAATAATAATAATAATAATAATGTAATAATAATAATAATGGAGCTGTATATGTGTGCATGTATGTGTGTATATATATGTGTGTGCGTGTGTATATATATATATATATACACACACACACACACATATACACACACATACATGCACATATACAGCTCCATTATTATTATGATTATTATTATTATTAGGTCTATTATCAACTTATATCCCCATACCAAAAAAGGGAAATGCGAAAGACTGCTCAAACTTCCGTACAGTGGCCCTTATTTCTCAGGCCAGTAAGGTAATGCTCAAGATCCTGCAAGGAAGACTCCAGCAATACATGGAGCGAGAGTTGCCAGATGTTCAAGCTGGGTTTAGAAAAGGCAGAGGAACGAGAGACCAGATTGCCAATATCCGCTGGATAATGGAGAAAGGCAGGGAGTTTCAGAAAAACATCTACTTCTGCTTCATTGACTATTCTAAAGCCTTTGACTGTGTGGATCATAATAAATTGTGGCAAGTTCTTGGTGGGATGGGCATACCAAGCCACCTTGTCTCTCTCCTGAGGAATCTGTACAAGGACCAAGTAGCAACAGTCAGAACTGACCACGGAACAACAGACTGGTTCAAGATTGGGAAAGGCATACGGCAAGGCTGCATACTCTCACCCAACCTTTTTAACTTGTATGCAGAACACATCATGCGATGTGCGGGGCTGGATGAATGCAAAGCTGGGGTGAAAATTGCTGGAAGAAACATTAACAACCTCAGATATGCAGATGACACCACTCTGATGGCCGAAAGCGAGGAGGAGCTGAGGAGCCTTCTAATCAAGGTGAAAGAAGAAAGCGCAAAAGCCGGGTTGCAGCTAAACGTCAAAAAAACCAAGATTATGGCAACAAGAATGATTGACAACTGGAAACTAGAGGGAGAAACCGTGGAGGCCGTGACAGACTTTGTATTTCTAGGTGCAAAGATTACTGCAGATGCAGACTGTAGCCAGGAAATCAGAAGACGCTTACTTCTTGGGAGGAGAGCAATGTCCAATCTCGATAAAATAGTAAAGAGTAGAGACATCAGAACGGCAACAAAGATCCGCCTAGTCAAAGCCATGGTATTCCCTGTAGTAACCTACGGATGTGAGAGCTGGACCTTAGGGAAGGCTGAGCGAAGGAAGATCGATGCTTTTGAGCTGTGGTGTTGGAGGAAAGTTCTGAGAGTGCCTTGGACTGCGAGAAGATCCAACCAGTCCATCCTCCAGGAAATAAAGCACGACTGCTCACTGGAGGGAAAGATACTAGAGACAAAGTTGAAGTACTTTGGCCACATCATGAGGAGACAGGAAAGCCTAGAAAAGACAATTATGCTGGGGAAAGTGGAAGGCAAAAGGAGGGGCCGACCAAGGGCAAGATGGATGGATGGCATCCTTGAAGTGACTGGCTTGACTCTGAAGGAGCTGGGGGTGGTGACGGCTGACAGGGAGCTCTGGCGTGGGATGGTCCATGAGGTCACGAAGAGTCGGAGACGACTGAACGAATGAACAACAACAGGTCTATTATATATTTAGGTCTTTTATATATCTATTATATATATATTATTAGGTCTATATATATTATTATTATTATTATTAGGTCTAATATATCTCAGACATGGGCAAACTTGGGCCCTCCAGGTGTTTTGGACTCCAACTCCCACAATTCCTAACAGCCTAGCGGCTGTTAGGAATTGTGGGAGTTGGAGTCCAAAACACCTGGAGGGCCAAAGTTTGCCCATGCCTGATACACACACAGAGCTTCATTACAAGTTCTTTTGGACTATGTTCAGAGAAAGAAGCTTCATATTGCAAGGAATCCAAAACATATTTGGATCATCGCAAGGCATGGCTGCAGAGTTCGTGGCCATGTGGGCCAGTTGGGTGGCCACAGCATTCCTCTTGGGCCAGAAATGGCCCGTCTTGGCGTATGAGCCGCTCCACATCTGGCAAGAGAGCGGCCCCCGAGCAAAAGCAGAGAGCAGATGTGCCACAACCCTGCTTGTGCATGTGTTTCGCTCCAGCAACGCCCAGCCTCCCTTGGGGATGATGGATTTCCTCATCGGGATGCCAGTGTCGGGTGTGGCGGATCTGCCCCCCGAGCGATGGGTTGGGAATCGCTGCCCACTCCTTTGGCTGCACTATGTATCCCTTCCTCTATTTTCCTTGCTTTTCCTTGCGATAGCTTTGCCATCGGTCGGAAAGACGTCTTGCAGGCTCACAACAACGTAAACAAATTTGTTTGTTTCAAATTTGCATATCATTACTTCGTTTGAACAGGTCGATGGGTTATTTTCCTTATTTATTTTTGCATCTGGTCCCCAATTCTCTACTCAACGCCAAAAGCGTATTTATTTTTTTCCCGGAGGTAGTTTCGACACTACGGAGGAGGAAATTCCCGAAACGCCCCGGGAAAACGAAAATAAGGAATATATTCCGAGCGATGCTGTGTTCCTTTTCTGTTTGGACTTGTCTGGGATTTTAAAAGCCGCTCAAAAGGAAACCATGCCCTGGCCCCTAGGACTTTGGCCCAGAATCACTCCCAACCCCAGCCGCCAAACCTGTTTTGAATCCCAGTAATTGGCACATTTTCGTAGCAAAGGTGCCTCTGAGCATATGCAGAGTGCCTTTTCCTAACCATAGGGATTGATCATTGACGCAAAGTATATATTCATGGCAAAGGTACCTCTGAGCATGTGCTGAGTGCCTTTTCTGAACCATAAGGAATTGGCACAAAGTACATATTCATAGCGAAAGTACCTCTGAGCATATGCAGAGTGCCATTTACTTGCCTTAGGCTTTGAACATTGGTGCAAAGTACATATTCAGGGCAAAAGTACCTCTGAGCATATGCAGAGTGCCTTTCTCTAACCAAAGGGATTGATAATTGGTGCAAAGTACATATTCATGACAAATGTACCTCTGAGCATGTGCAGAGTTCCTTTCCTGAACCATAAGGAATTGGCACAAAATACATATTCATGGCAAAAGTACCTCTGAGCATATGCAGAGTGCCTTTCCTTCACCATAGGGATTGATCATTGGTGCAAAGTACATATTCATGGCAAATGTGCCTCTGAGCATATGCAGAGTGCCTTTCCCTAACCATAGGGAGTGATAGTTGGTGCAAAGTACATATTCGTGGCAAAGGTCCCTCTGAGCATATGCAGAGTGCCCTTGCCTAACTATAAGAATTCATAAGTGGAGCAAAGTACAAAGAAAGGTTCCTCTGAGCATATGCAGAGTGTCTTTTCCGAACTATAGGGATTGATTATTGACGCCAAGTATATATTTGTGGCAAAGGTCCCTCTGAGCATATGTTGAGTGTGTTTTCCTAACCATAGGGATTGATCATTGGTGCAAAGTACATATTCATGACAAAGGTACCTCTGAGCATATGCAGAGTGCCTTTCCCTAACCACATAGGGAGTGATCGTTGGTGCAAAGTACATATTCGTGGCAAAGGTTCCTCTGAGCATATGCAGAGTGCTCTTTGCCTTTTTGGAATGCAGCACGCAAGTTGAGTTAAATGGCAGTTTAAATTGGTTTTAATTTTTGTTTAAAAGTATTATTTCTTCAAATTTCTTTTGCCAGTTGCTTGAGAGTTTTGGTTGCTTGGATTCCGGTTAACCGAGAGTCATAGAATAATAGTCTCCTCTGTTTAGTTGCAAGGTGATAGTGGCAGTAGGTCAAATGTGGACTACTTTTACATTTATTACTTCTTTGCTTTTTTTTTGCCAGTTGCTTGAGAGTTCCGCTTAACCACAAGTCCACTGCATTTCATGCGGCTTCTCCTTGACTATCTCACCTCCAGGTTGCCGAAGCCGTGGGCACCTTTGAGCTCCAGATCCGGTTCATGCGCAACGAGAGGGGCACCCTGGCGGACGGGCGCTGCTGCCGCGGAGGCCTGGAGCCGCCCTGCCCCGAGGACGATCCGTGCCGGACTTTCTTCCGCGTTTGCCTGAAGGAGTACCAGTTGCGGGTGCAGCCGGGGGGACCCTGCGTCCTGGGCGCCGCCGCCACACCCCTCCTCGGGGGCAACGCCTTCTCTGCCGGACACCCCAAGCACCCCGACCACAGCCACCGAGTGGTCATGCCCTTCGACTTCGCCTGGCCGGTGAGTGGATTGGGGAACCCCAGTACAAAGAAACGTCTAGTACAGCATTTCTCAATCTGGGGGTTGCGACCCCTAAGGGGGTCGTGCGGGGGTGTCAGAAGGATCACGTATTTTCCTTTGGTAATGGTGGTTTTGTGTGGGACGTTTGGCCCAATTCTGTCAGTGGGAAGGGAGGAAAGAAAAAAAGTAAGACAGAAGCAAAGAAAGGATAGTCCTTGTGTCTTCTTCCAGTTCTAGGATCTGAGGGAATGGTGGATGGATGGATGGAAGGAAGAGAATAAGATAGATAGATCGATAGACCGATAGACCGACTGACTGACCGACCGACCTGGATGGTCCTTGTGTCCTCTTCCAATTCTAGGATCCGAGGAAACGATGGATGGATGGATGGATGGGAGGGAATAAGATAGCTAGATAGAGAGATAGATGGATGGATGGATGGATGGATAGATAGATAGATAGATAGATAGATAGATAGATCCGGATGGTCCTTTTGGCCTCTTCTAATTTTAGGATCTGAGGGAAAGATGGGTGGGTGGATGGACGGCGGACGAACGAACGAACAAACGGAATGGTTCTTATGGCCTCTTCCATTGTTAGTACCCGAGGAATGGATGGATGGATGGATGGAAGGAAGGAAGGATGGATGAATGAATGAATGAAGGAAAGGATGGTCCTTGTGTCCTCTTCCAATTCTAGGATCCAAGGGAACGATGGATAGATGGATGGGAGAGAATAAGATAGATAGATAGATAGATAGATAGATAGATAGATAGATAGATAGATAGATCGGGATGGTCCTTTTGGCCTCTTCTAATTTTAGGATCTGAGGGAAAGATGGATGGACGGGTGGACAGAATGGTCCTTATGGCCTCTTCCATTGTTAGTATCCAAGGGATGGATGGATGGAAGAAGGAAGGAGGAAAGGATGGTCCTTGTGGCCTTTTCCAATTCTAGGATCCAAGGGAAATATGGATGGATGGAGGAATGAATGAATGAATGAACTGGATGGTCCTTGTGGCCTCTTTCAATTTTAGGATCCAAGGGAAATATGGATAAATGGATGGATGGAAGGAAGAAAAAGAAAGAAAGAAAGAAAGAAAGAAAGAACAGAATCGTCCTAATTGCCTCTTGAAATTTTAGGATCTGAGGGATGGATGGAAGGAAGGAAAAAAAATGGATGATTCTTGTGGCCTTTTCCAATTCTAGGATCCAAGGGAAATATGGATGGATGGCTGGATGGAAGGAAGGAAGAATGAGCAAACTGGGTGGTCCTAGTGAACTCTTCTAATTTTAGGATCCAAGGGAAAGATGGATGAAAGGAAGGAAGAAAGAACTGATTGGTCTTTATGGCTTCTTCCAATTTTAGGATCCGAGGGGATGGATGGATGGATGGATGGATGGATGAAACGGATGGTCCTTGGTCTTCCAGTTCTAGATCCCAAGGGAAAGATGATGGATGGATGGATGGATGGATGGAAGGAACGAAGTGAGGAAGGAAGGAAGGAAGGGATGGTCCTTGGTCTTCCAGTTCTAGGATCCAAGGGAAAGATGATGGATGGATGGATTGATGGATAGAAGAAATGGATGGTCCTTGGTCTTCCAGTTCTAGGATCCAAGAGAAAGATGATGGGTGGAACGAAGGGAGGGAGGGAGAAATGGTCCTTGGCCTTCGAGTTCTAGGATTCAAGGGAAAGATGATGGATAGATGGATGGATGGATGGATGGATGGATGGATGGATGGATGGGAGGGAGGAAGGAAGGAAGGAAGGGATGGTTCTTGGCTTTCGAGTTCTAGGATCCAAGAGAAAGATGATGGATGGATGGATGGATGGATGGATGGATGGATGGATGGATGGATGGAAGGAAGGAAGGAAGAAATTGATGGTCCTTAGTCTTCCAGTTCTGGGATCCAAGGGAAAGATAATGGATGGATGGATGGATGGATGGATGGATGGATGGATGGATGGATAGATGGATGGATGGATGGAACGAAAGAACGAAGGAAGGGATGGTTCTTGGTCTTCCAGTTCTAGGATCCAAGTGAAAGATGATGGATGGATGGATGGATGGATGGATGGATGGATGGAAGGAAGGAAGGAAGTGAAGAAGGAAGGAAGGAAGAAATGGATGGTCCTTGGTCTTCCAGTTCTAGGATCCAAGGGCAAGATGATGGATGGATGGATGGATGGATGGATGGATGGATGGATGGATGGATGGAATGAAGGAACGAAGGAAGGAAGGGATGGTTCTTGGTCTTCCAGTTCTARGATCCAAGGGAAAGATGGTGGATGGATGGAGGGATGGAAGGAAGGAACGAAGGAACCAAGGAAGGAAGGGATGGTTCTTGGTCTTCCAGTTCTAGGATCCAAGGGAAAGATGATGGATGGATCTTTCTTTGATCTGACCAAAGCACCAGAGCCCTGGTGGTGCAGTAGATTAAACCGCTGAGCTGCTGAACTTGCTGACCAAAAGACTGCAGGTTCAAATCTGGGGAGTGGCATGAGCTCCTGCTGTTAGCCCCAGCTTCTGCCAACCTAGCAGTTCAAAAACATGCAAATGTGAGTAGAGCAATAGGTACCGCTCCAGTGGGAAGGTAATGGCACTCCATGCAGTCATGCCGGCCACATGACCTTGGAGGTGTCTGCAGACAACGCCGGCTCTTCGGCTTAGAAATGGAGATGAGCACCACCGCCCAGAGTTGGACACGACTGGACTTAATGTCAGGGGAAAACCTGTACCTTTACCTTACCCAAGAAGGAGATGGTCAAGCTGGATGATACCCAAATGGCCAAAGATTTGGGGGTCATAAATCCCTAAAAGGAAATGTGTAGGGAACTGGGGAGGTTTAGGTTGGAGAAGGTTAGAGAGGGACACGATAGCAAGACGCAGTGAAGGTGAAATGTTGGGGAAATATTTTTGAAGGATGTAAACAAAGCTAGTATGTGTGTGAGAGCATTGCACGGAGTGCTTGGCCAATGGGGAGTTCGGTGAAACCTGGAAACGTGCATTTTCCGTGCTTTCCTCTCTCTGCCGAAGCCTTTTTGGGGTTTGTCTGGATTGCCAGGTTTAAATTATGAAACTGGAGCAGCTGACTTCTCTTTCCAAAGTGGGTCCCAGGTGCAATGCAAATACAGAACCAGATGGGCTTTGCTTATCTCCTTTTCCCCAAAGGACGGGAATTGATGCAGCAGATGCCAAATCGTGCATAAATTGGGCAAGACGGCAACCAGCTGGCGGCAATTCATTGATTTCTGCAGCAAAGGATGCATCCACATTGCCGAATTAATGCACTTTGACACCACTTTAATGGCTCGATGCCTGTTAAAGTTTGGCTTTGAACCAACACTCTTTGGTAGAAGAGGCTATAAAAACCTTGCAAAACTCTGACTCTGAGACATGGTATCGATCTGCATCAATTCTGTGGTGTAGATGCACCCCGAGACTTTCTTTTCCTGTCTTCCTAAACTGGGAGAGCATGTTTATTTTCTTCGTTGTTGATCTCTGCCTCCCAAGGTTGGGTTCGGGGGAAGAGAAATGAGATCGGGAGATAAAGCGCTTAATTAAAGTCTCTCCTTAATTGCGGCAAAGTCCTTTCTCCTCCCTTTGAATTGTAGCTCTCGTTCTCTGCTCCAGCTTCGTAGCTTCTCGCTCAGGAAGTATACATAATCTCTATTAGAGCCCCTTATAGAGACCAATAACATCCTGGGATTTGTAGTTTTCGGGGTTCTGTGATAGAATTAAAAATAACTGATCAATCCTGAGGATAATTGGAGTGCAATGACTGCAATTCAACTGAAATTTCCAATAATTGGAATTGCAGTCACTGCCACTGGAATTGCAATTCATGCCACTGGGATGGCAATCAATGCCACTGGAATTGCAGTCATCTGGAATTACAATCATCGCCACTGCAATTGCAATCATCGCCACTGCAATTGCAGTCACTGCCACTGGAATTGCAATCGATTGCACTGGGATGCCAATCAACGCCACTGGAATTGCAGTAATCTGGAATTGCAATCATCGCCACTGGAATTGCAGTCACTGCCATTGGGATTGCAATTAATGCCATTGGGATGGCAATCAATGCCAATGAGATGGCAATCGATGCCACTGGGATGGCAATCGATGCCACTGGGATTGCTATCAGTGCCACTGGAATTGCAATCATCTGGAATTGCAATAATCTCCACTTGAATTGCAATCACCTCCACTGGAATTTCAGTCACCACCACTGAAATTGCAGTCACTGCCACTGGAATTGCAATTGTTGCCACTGGGATGGCAATCGATGCCAGTGAGATGGCAATTGATGCCACTGGGATGGCAATCGATGCCACTGGGATGGCAATCGATGCTACTGGGATTGCAATCAATGCCACTGGAATTGCAATCATCTCCACTGGAATTGCAATCACCTCCACTGGAATTGCAGTCACCACCACTGGAATTGCAGTCACTGCCACTGGAATTGCAATCGCTGCCACTGGAATTTCAGTCGCTGCCACTGAAATTGCAGTCACTGCCACTGAAATTGCAATCGATGCCACTGGAATGGCAATCGATGCCACTGGGATGCCAATCAACGCCACTGGGATTGCAATCAACGCCACTGGGATTGCAATCATCTCCACTGGAATTGCAATCACCTCCACTGGAATTGCAGTCACCACCACTGGAATTGCAGTCACTGCCACTGGAATGGCAATCGATGCCACTGGGATGCCAATCAACACCACTGGAATTGCAATCAATGCCACTGGAATTGCAATCAACGCCATTGGAATTCTAGTCATCACCATTGGAATTGCAATCATCGCCATTGGAATTGCAATAATCGCTACTGGAATTGCAATCATCACCACTGGAATTGTAATCTAACTACCTCTGAGGATGCTTGCCATAGATGCAGGCGAAACGTCAGGAGAGAATGCCTCTAGGCCATGGCCATACAGCCCGAAAAAACCTACAACAACCCAGTGATTCCGGCCATGAAAGCCTTCGACAATACATGGAATTGTAATCATTGCAACTGGAATTATTGTGGTTATTATTATTATTATTATTTATACCTCACTATACTGTCACACTTGGCTTCCAAGGGGATTTATAGTTTGGCAAAGCACCAGGAAACATTAAAGACCTTTTGAATCTACAAATGCCAGGATTCCACATTTGTAAACCATGCTAGTTAAAGAGATATCAAACTGCATTCGTTCTGCAATATAGCTGCAACCTATGTTCCGGGAGTTGTAGTCCACAAAGGGCAACTTCGTTACGGTCTCATGCCACCCAACGTGTCTGTCTTGAAGGGAGGAGCATTGTTCCTTCAAGAAACTGAAACTGAACTGTCCTTATCACCTGGATCAGGGCCCTTCGGGGTTCGTTCTGTTTGCATATGGAGGGGGAAGAATTCAGCATTTAATTAGATATATTTACATATATAAATAGGCCTATTTATGGAAAGGCCTGACACGAAGGCTATTATTTTAAATATTTAAGGATGTATAATAAAGCGTGAAACTGAACAATGAGACAAGCGCTATAAAGTAATATAGGTTGAATATCACTGGATTTTTTTGGATTTGGGAATATTTGCATATGCATAATAATTAGCGATGGGACCCATGTTTACACACAAAATTCATTCATGTTTCATAGGAACTGTCTACACATAGTCTGAAGATAATGTTATATATAATATATTTAATGATATAGAATATGGTATATATTATAAATAATATATATATATATATCATATTAAATATATATAATTGACATATTATAATATATAATAAATAATGTAATAGTAATATAATATATAATAATATAATATTACTATTAATATTATATAATATATCACATTAAAATATATAATATATTATTTATTATACTTAACAATATATAATTATATATTTTATATTATATTATATGTATACTATTACTATTATATAATATTATATATTATACATAATAATATATAATACTATATTATATATTATTAATATTATATATATCATATTTAAATATATAATATAATATTTATATGTTATGTATATATATTAATAATCTACATTATTTATATATATATTGCTAATATAATAATTACATTAAGAAAGCAAGAAAGAAAAACAATTATGCTATTATATTATTTATTATATATAATATTTAATAATATGTATTATATTATATATTATATCATACATTATTAATGCTGGTCCATGAGTCACAAAGAGTCGGAGACGACTGAACGAATGAACAACAATTACAATTATATAATATATAATATTAATAATTTATAATAATTTATTAATATATAATATTATATATTATATAATTGTAATAATATATATTAATAATGTAGCATATAATATATAATATTATTCATTAATAAATTATTATAAATTATTAATATTATATACCATATTAAATTATATAGTAATAATATAATATTTACGTACTATATATATAATTAATCTACATTATTTATATATATATTGCTAAAATAATAATTATATTAAGAAATCAAAAAAGAAATAATTATGCTATTATTATATTATTGATTATACATAATATTTAATAATATGTATTATATTATATATTATATGCTACATTATTAATATATATTATTACAATTATATAATATATAATATCATTTATTAATAAATTATTGTAAATTATTAATATTAGATACCATATTAAATTTTATAGTAATAATATAATATTTATGTATTATATAAATAATCTACATTATATATATATATATATATATATATA